AGCGAGGAGCATAATTGCTATTGCAAGAGCTAGCGGATCGCACCTACTAACATCCGCGCAGTCCATTTCTTCGCCGGCCTGAACTCAGGCATTCTGTCTGCAGTCCTCCTCCAACCCGCCGACCTCCTCAAGACCCGCGTCCAACAATCCCGCTCGAGCACCCTCCTCGGTACCATCCAGTCGATAGCGAGCGGACCCAACCCAATACGTCAGTTCTGGAGGGGCACATTACCAAGTACCCTACGCACAGGGTTTGGCTCTGCCATATACTTTTCAAGTCTCAACGCGTTGCGACATAGAGCGAGTCTGGTCGCGGCGGGCAGCAGCGATGCAGCAGTCAAAGGCGCGGAGCACTCGAGCTCTCTGCCTAAACTGAGCAACACCGCGAATCTGGCGACCGGGGCTTTCGCGCGGACATGGGCGGGCTTCATTATGATGCCGATAACCGTGCTGAAAGTGCGGTACGAGAGTAGCTTGTACTCGTACAATTCGCTCTTCACCGCATCTCGAGACATCTTCCGAACAGAAGGACTCAAAGGATTCTTTGCTGGTTTCGGCGCCACAGCAGTCCGCGATGCACCCTACGCTGGTCTCTATGTCCTCTTCTACGAGCAGTCGAAACGGAAACTATCTAGTCTCGCAACCAAGATTGAAGAGACGTCCGGCACTGCCACCAAATTATCTACCAGCACATCCGCGGGGATAAACTTCATCTCGGGTGTTGCTGCAGCGGGGCTGGGGACGACTATTACGAACCCCTTCGATGCTATCAAAACGCGCATACAGCTTATGCCTCACCAATACGTCAATATGGTACAGGCGAGCAAGAAGATGCTTGCGGAGGAAGGCATGCGTAGCTTGTTTGATGGACTTGGTATTAGGATTGCGAGAAAGGCAATGAGCAGTGCGCTTGCCTGGACGGTCTATGAGGAGCTGATTCGACGAGCGGAGACTCTGAAGGAAGTCGTCGAGGAGAAGATATGATTAGGAATTTTACGACTTAAGCGTTTCGTTCCCTTCGCCATCATCTGATGACTACGAATTGTACGATACTTGAATAGCCGGCGTTCGCTGGCGCCGACATTCGGCTAGACACCTCTTCGCTCACATGCACATTGGAGTGTTCAAATGGAAATAACGATCTGCATCTTAACGTCTCTCACGGAATACCTATCTCGTCAAAGTTCACAGCCATCTAAAATATACGCCGAAAAGTCTGGAATTCCGGCCCCGGGACCTGGACTGGAAAGGTGCGGCTGAAGGGCTGTGGCTATTGAAGTCGATCTGGCGCAAATCTAACCGAAAACGCAGCCCCGGGCACATGAAGGCTTACTCCGATCAGCTTGTTGGTCACGATACCTCGGCGGGTCGCACGCGAGCGGAGCTGTTTCATGAGGCGCTGAAGCATGCAGAACATGTGTCTTGGAGCGCGCGTCAAAGGAACGTCGACAAAGAGGAGTACCCACGAAGTTGATTTCCAGAGATGACCGGTTTGCTTGACGGCAGGGCTGTACACTAACCAGGCTTACTAGATATGTCAGTTCCGCCTTCGCAGCCTAGAGTAGAAGGAGGCATTGGCGTCTTGGTTAGTGTCACTTTTAGACGCTGGACGTACCCCACCAAACCATCACCATTCCGTGCCGCTAGCTGGAGAGACCGAAGGATGTAGGGCAAAGCCGTCGCAAGAATCGCACACCACAGCGCTACAACGGCGCAGAGGAGATGCGGGCATGTGGACGGCCTCCTACACTATCGTTGATAGGCCAAATATGCGTTCCGGCTGATATGTGTCCACCAGACCAGGCGCATAAGAAAGCCGCTAGTGATCAGGCAGCTTTCAGCCCCCATTCCAGCAAGAGGGGCGCAATTCCTTCAAGTTCTGCTGCAGCCGCACTTTTGCTGACATTTCTGGTTTCTTACGTTACCTTCTCTTTATACCGTGTCACCTCTGCTGCTGTGCCGCCCCCTCAGTGTCGACCCCGCTCTGTGTGTCCACGCCGCAACTGAGACCAACCCGAAGGTTTTGGTTTGATTGCTCTGCTTTGTCCTCACCTCAAATTTCAGACTGAACAGTCGGGATAGTTTTTCTACTTTTCATCCGTCTTTTCAGCCTCTTCGCCCACTATGCCACGAGCATCCGACTGGGACTCGACGGATGATGAATGGTACAATCGGAAAGTCACAAAGGACACTGTGAACATTCACACTCGTCATGTCCCTGCCCCCGCACCCCGACCCCCACCGCGGAGAGTCCAAGACGACGAGGTCTATCGTCCTGACTACGGTCGTCGCACGACAGAGTTTCTGGCTCCAGAAGTGCACTATACAACCGGTCTCCATCGAACTCGCTCACAAGGCCATGCGCCTGCTCCCAACGTGACAATCTACAACACCAGTCACCTGGATAACGATAGCCACCCCCATGTACGCACTGAGCAGAAGGGTCAAGACGCCAGTCCCCGGGGCCGACGCATGCCTGGTGGGTTTGAGGACCTGGAAGATAATATCGCTGCGCTGCGAGCAGACATAAAGAAAGAGCACCGGTCGCGCTCTAGGCACGAATATGAGCATCAACGTGCTCCCGAGCCGAACTACGAAGACAAGATCAAGTTGACACTTGCTGAGCAACGCCTTAGAGATCTCGAAGATAGGCTTGAGAGGGAGCGTCAGGAGCGATACCATCATCATTCGCCAGATCGTAGTTACGAGGACAAAGTTAAGTTGACACTTGCTGAGCAGCGGCTTCGGGACGCTGAACAGCAACTCGAAAGGGAAAGACGTCATCACTCGTCAGATGGCTACAAAGATAAGGTACAAGAGGCACTATTGCAACAACGCCTTGATGAAGCCGATGAGAAGGCTGAACGAGAACGTTGGGAGAAGGAAACGGAGAGACGGGAGGAATTGGCCAGGCGCGGGGTTGAGCTTGAGTTCATCCATGATAGAAGGGACCGTGAGCTAGAAGCGGAAAACATCAAGAGAATAGAGGAGAGTATGCGTCGCGATTGGGAGTTGAAGCGAGAGAGGGAAGACCGAGACCGCGAGCGACGCGATATCGACGAGGAGAGGAAGAAAGCTCAAATTATCGCCGAGAACAGGGCGAAGATGTCCAGAGAGCAAAGGGAGGCTGAGGAACAGCGCGACAAGATGCTTGCCAAACTAGAGAGGGAGCAGAGAGAACAGGATGACGAACGCAAGCGGATTCTCGCCGAGGCCAAGCTCAAGCAAGCCAGGGAGCAACGTGAGGCCGAGGAACAGCGTGAGAAGATTCTTTCTGATATGGAGAAGAAGAAGAAGCGAGAGAACGAAGAACGCGCGCGCATCATTGCGGAGAACACGGCTAAGCTTGAGAAGGAGGCACGTGAGCGTGAACTCAAGGAAAAGGCATTCGAAGAAGAGCGCAAGCGAATCATCGCTGACAACGAAGCCAAAGTAGCTAAACAGGCAAGAGAGGCAAAGGAAGCTCAACAGCGTGCTGTCGATGAATACCAACGGAAGAAGGCCAAAGAAGAGGCCGAAGCTCAAGCAGAGAAAGACCGTATCATCTATGAGTACGAGCGCAAGAAGATTCTCGACGCCGACAAGGAAAAGAGAGCAAAGGAGGAGCTCATAATGAAGCTCAAACTCGAAGAGGAAGAGCGAAAGCGCAAAGAAAAGGAAGAATTCGACGCCTTCACGCGAAAGCAGCAAGCTGCAGAAGAAGCAGAGAAGCGGAAGAAAGAGGCCCAGGAGAAGGAGCTCGAGGAGACAATGCGCAAGCGACTCGCTCAATTTGGCTTCCAAGACAACCAGATCCAGGCGCTCGTCAACCCGGACAAGCAGAGAGAGCTCCAGGCGGGTATGATGCCTAACCATCCTCTCCATCCAATCGCTCCTCCTGCGCCTCCGCCACCACCGCACCACCACCACTCCCATTCTCACTCGCACTCTTCTTCGCATCAAATCGCTATTGCGCCGCCACCTACCTACGCCAAGGTACACAGAAGCCATCTCGACGTCGAGACGCTGCACTACTACGACATCCCATATGAATACGACGTTGTAAGTCCCCATCCACCAACCCTATACTCTGCTACCAAGTACTATACTAACATCACACCCAGAACCCCGAATACATCATCGTCCTCCGCGAAATGTCCCAACGCGAAACCGACATCCTCTTCGAGCATACCCGTCGTCTGCGCACTGGACACGGTAGCAAGTTGTTTATTGAATCGGAAGGGAGGGATAGACATGGTAAGAAGGAGTATGCTTTTGTGAGGAAGAAGTCGAGGTCCAGGTCGAGGAGTGTGGTTGGGGGTTCGTCTAGTCGGGCGAATGTTAGTTTGGGGGAGATGTTTTTTAGGTAGGGTTCTTTGATGAGCTCATGGTTGGTAGGTAGTGTTTTGAAGGAGTTGGGTCTCTTTGCTTATGACGACATATACCAATCTTCTCTGTAGGATTTTATACATATACATAGGTACCTTCGCTCGGTTGTTCTGTTACGTAGTTCTCTATGTATGAGTTTGGCTTATTGTTGATCTCGATGTCAACTCATGTGACTTCACCTGTCTACATCGCTAGAAATGCTGTGTAACACTTTGCGCATGTCTTCTGCGTCTCAACGAATTCCAGCTCTTCACCGGTCTTGTGCTACATCGGTTCAGATTTACCCCTTCTGGACAGAACGTGCTGGAATTTCAGACAATCTCGGCTCGAAGACAAGCGACTTCATTGATGCCACGCGCGGTATTACCGACTGCCGCTCTCACAGGATTTTGGAAGTGAAGAGTGTAGCACGTGCTTGTGCGTCATCCATGGATCGCACCTGCCTGACAGCTCTAGGGCTGACGCGTGGGGCCCACTCACGCCTCTTGCCTCGGCATGCGGTCGGCTTCTGATCTCCGGGAACATGACGCTCAGTTGCCGCAACACCATCACTTCGACCAACTCTCACTCACTTTCCTTGTAGCATGCGTTGATACCCCTCTTAGTGTACTTTTACTCCTTCTTGATTCAGCATGGCGGAGCTTTGCGGGCCTTCAAATGCCCTGCAAAACTTCCAGAAGCACACGACCGTAGACCGGACGCTTCAGCAGGACCGCTTGGTGGGCAGACATTCACCGGCGCAGGTGTGTGCTTATTCTCGAAACTTGCGCTTCGCCATATTGACGGTAGCAGGGCTTTAGATCATCTCCGGGACCAAATGTAGGCGCGTTAGATAACGAGTTTGAAGCCTTTCAAGCTGGGGGCCGGCCTCTTCCAACACAAAACTTCCAACCTTTCGATCCACGATTCGCGCAACCTCCTCCCCAGTTTGCGCAAGCGTCACAGGCACCCGACTGGGCGGCCGACTTTCAACGCTTGAATGTTAGCAGTCCGCCGCCACAGACGTTTCAGCAACAGCGACAGCAGCCCGCGAGCGCAGCGTCAGCATGGCATCAGGACTTCTTGAGGCAGCAGGCTCCGGTCGCACAGGCGCCTGCGTTACAGCAAACCCCGTATGGAGGCATGTCGGGATACAACATGGGTGGATTTGGTGGACAAGCATACATGCAGACCCCGACTTTCCAGAACGCCCAAGTCTCAGAGGTCGCGCAAGGGAAGCAGCGCGCCCAGGACGACGTACCGGCTTTCGACGAGGCGGCCTTTGAACAAGCATTTGCGCAGGCGCAACAAGACATGATGGAGACGGCAGAAGCAGAGCAAGTACACACACAGCCAGCGCAAGAGGCGCTGGATCTGGACCGGCCGGGTGAGATGGATCCTCTTCTTCAACGGATACGAGAAACGCGGCCAGGTGTGTAGTGTCCGTCAAACCACCTACGAGTGCTGACTGTGAGCTTAGCTGTCTACTCCGCCATCCAGGTCTGGAGCGAAACCGGTCTCGGGCGAACCGACGAAGCAGTAGCATATCTAGAGAACATGGATCGCTTAGAGAAGAGCGGTACTCTGGTACAGGATGCGAACGAAGGGAAATGGATCGTCGACTCGCTCCAAAGAATCGTGAATCGCGATGCCCCTCAAGAAGTCAAGACGCGCGCCGAAGAGCTCATCAAAGCCATCAACCAACGCCTCATGTCACAATACCCGCTCGGATCGCGTGTTCAGATGAGCGAAGAGCAAATATGGCAGGATCTAGAAGCAGCAGGATACATGAGAACACCAGAGCCGCTCCAACACTTCGAGCAGAAACCAGAAGAAGAGCAGAAGCAAGAACAACCGCCAAGAAACGAAGACGACGAGATGGCGGCAACAGCAGGCCGACTGCTAGAGCGCGTAGCAGATAACACAAGCGAGAAGTTCCAAAACTCACAATTTCTGGGATTAATGCGCCGTCTGCGCGACCGCGAAGTAAGAGTACAAGAAGACAAGATCGTCGAAGTCGATGCCAGCGCACAACAGTCGCAGCAGCCCACAAACACAATGACCACACCCCAAACCACCATCTCCCAACAACCATCGCAATCACAACCACCCTCATCAACGCAAATCCCCGAAATCGACCCCACAATCCTCTCCCACGCCGCCACCGACTTCGAAACCCCAATCTACTACGGCGAAGAACCACAGCAACCATCTCAGCAGTATGCCCAGCCTCCTCCTCCTTCCTCCCCACACAAACCTCTCAGGGAGTCCCTAATAACTGATGAGATTTCAGAACAATATAGATACTACAATGTCCATGCCGCATATCACCGGTGAGACGATGTTTACGGAGCCACGGCGTTTTATCCCACGGCACGAGCAGGATGAGGATCTTTGGAGGGATGTTGTGGTGCCGGGGAGGGATCCGGTGACGAAGGGGAGGGGGTCTGGGTAGATGGTCGTGGTTTGGGAGGGGTTTGGTGGGGTATGCAGAGGAGATGGGATGTAGAAGAATAGTTGTTATATCAAGCGCTGTTCTGCTGTTTTATCATCACAAGGGCGGCTGTCTAAGGTGCACCTGAAGTGGCCGTATCATAAACTGCTGTATGCGGCACGAAGCAATGACAATGTAATACAAGCAAATCACCTAGAAGCCTATGTTGCTGTTATTTCTTTCTAGCCGCCTCATTTTCAAGACAACTGCATCTCGGAATCTGACCTGACGCGACGTACGTGTCGATAGCAGCCACGGGATGTCTCAATACGGTATGTCTCATTGACCGCCGATTTGTCACGCTCCATTGTGCAAAGGCTCCGTTTGCACCTTTACCTAGGCAGCCACATACGTCCTTCTCGCTTATGATTGACAGAATCGCAACTGTGGCTTCAACTGTTTCCAATACCTACGATACCCTACGAACGCGCGCCAACATGGCCCCCACAGACACCAAGAAACGCAAGCGCAGGTCTTACGAGAACAAGGCACTGATCATCGAACAATTGGGCTTCTGACGAAAGCAAGCGTTCGACGACTGGCGCGCGAGTGATGTAGTGAAGCCACATTAGGAAAGATTCAGTAAACACTTCTTGGACTCGCCTTTCTTCGAATACGACAAGCAAAGTGGAGAGTTCAAGCGTGTGTACACTCAGATCATCAATGGCGAGAAGTGCGACGCGATGGCATTATCCACCCGCACCAACCGTCAATACACTACCGATATTGACTGGCATGCATGGCTTTTGTATTGCCTTGTCGACCAAAAAACGAAGAGTAGAGATGGTTGCTTCCATGCAACGGGGCTTGAGAGATGCATATATAGCTTACGATAGTATCCGATAGTAAATGGAATACATTGCAATACATCAACGATGTGGATCTCTCTTTCGGCTCATACTAGAGACTGAATTTAGTAGCTTGCTCATATGCCTGCAAGCAAGTCCACCACCCGATTTTCACGTTCGAATGCGATGCTCCAGATATGGGTCTCACCATTAAATGATCTTGCCGTGGTAGATGGGTGAACTCAATAAATGAGTCGGTCTAACAAATCAGTAAAGTAACATGGTATAATACACAACAAGAAATCTAGTCTTAGCCTCTTCAACCCAACAATGAAACATCTCCAAGTCCCAACCACCCTCAAAAGTCCAAAAGACTCCTTCCAGGAACAACGACCGCAGTATTGGGAACCGCCAGATCCTTAGCCGGTTCTGCCTTCGGTACACTGAACCCATACTCCGCCTCCCAATCGTCTTCGTAATCGCTCTCATCCTCTGAATCCCAATCGCTTTCCTCGCTGTTATCCTCATAGTCGCGCTCACTCCAACCATCGCTATCATCATCCGCCTCTCCCTCCTCATCTTCATCCACCCAATCCGCATCATCCTGGTCATCGCCATCGTTCTCAAAGTCGCGTGTAGAAACCTTGACCTTACTGATGACTGGTATATCCAGAAACCTATGACAGCTTAAATCCTCTAGCTCTCCAGTGAGCAGCTCTGTGCCAGCTGTGATGCCTAGTCCATTTTTCTTGCCTGTTTCTGTGCGCTCGAAATCGAGTTGCACAATGGCCGGTTCGCCCCAGCTGTTGGTGTGGTTGAAGCGCAGTACGCGCAATGTATCCCATAGTGGTATTGGCTTTGAGGTGAGAAGCTGCTGGATGGCGTTGGCGTGGCTTCGTTTGCTGTGATGCACGTATAGTGCCTCCAATCCACTCAGCGCTGTGAGCATGGCTTCCATACGTTTGCCGTAGTTGTCGTCGATTGTGCCTTCGCTCATCTTCAGGTATTTGACGGTCGACGCGTAGGTGGGATTTGAGGTGACAGTGCGTAGGAACAGATCCCAACGCGTGTTGGCGATTGTTAAGCTGATGTTCTTCGCAATGTGTACGGAGGAAATGCGATTGAGTGAGTGCGCCGTCAATGAAAGGTTGATGATATGGCGATAGAGTGTTGGCTGCTGGCCTTCTTCAACATCATTGACACTGGGCCGATCGGGCGCAAGGTATACGGATATTAGATGGAGGACTGGGTCGGGGAGGGACGATAAAGTGACGAGCGACATGTTTGCGGTAAGAGACGAGGTTGCGAGGTATTTGCGACAAATTTGTAGACTGAGGTGTTGGGTTTGGAGGAAAAAGAGGCGAGGTGGGTATATATTGGAGAGACGCGTCTCGATGATGTAGACGCGCCGAAATGGCGCTAAGTTAGAGATGGTGTGGCGCGTGCACCCCCTAGACAGAAGAATGCGAAATGGCGTGGTCTTCTTCCCGGGATATAGGCGAAGTGCCGGTGATGGCAACAGCAGCAAAAGTCGATACTGTGAATGCCCTCTCGGCAAATCAAATCCTATTGCATTGCCATAATATGTTGACCCAAACGCCGCGCTATGCATGTTGAAAATCAATCACGTCCTACCCTCGCTCATAACTTGACTTTCTTCACAGGCTTTTGTTCCGCTGTCGCGTCGTCCTTCTTCCGCTTGAAGATGCTCTGGCTCTTCATCTGACCAAGTCCGGCCTTGTTCGCTGGTGCAGCCTTTGCTTTCAACCCAAAACTGAGCTTGACAGGCGCTGCATCAGCCTTTGGCTCCGTAGCATCGGTCTTCTCATCTCCTTGTGTTTGTTCGTCGGCAGGCGATTCAGCCTTCTTCTCTTCCGTTGGGGACGCTCCTTCGGCTGGTGGAGTAACCTGCTGTTGTACTGCTGCTTGTGCCGCCGCTCGTTTTGCCTCGATAGCCTTCTTAGCCTCGACTTCTTCTTGTGCACGCTTCGCCATCTTCTTCAGCATCTTGTCTTCGCCCGCACCGCTTCGTGCCTCAGCAGCCTCCATCTCTGCGATCTCGTTGCGCCTGTTCAAAGCCGCGACAGAGGTGTCTCTCCAAGCAATCATCAATCCGTCTTTTTCGTCTTCCTTGACATGACAGATGCCCTCGCGCCCCAGGTGTTTGGCGAACTCGGTGAGCGAACTCCACTTAGTAGCGTTCATGTGAACGTGTTCCTTGTCTCGAATATACTCGTTGTAGAACTTGTTGACGCCGATCCACTTCTCGTTGTGTGCTGTCCGCAGAAGATTGACGAAATCCCTTTGGAAGTCGTTGCTGAAGCCTTGAATGTACTTCTTAGGGTCCTCGCCGACAACTTGCAGGTTTCGGACATGGCCCTCGCTCTGAACGTGGCATTTGAAGCCGTTGGCGTCGCGACATTGCTTCTGGCACGGCTCACACCACCAGCGCAAGCGCTGCAAGCCCTTTGACTTCATCTTGTTGGCCACCCATTTTGTACTGCCCGCTTCAGCCTTGCCCATGGTTGTGGTTGTGGTGGTGTCGACGGTGATTTGGCGTAGAGGGTAATGCGGTTACGAGACGGTCGCCGCGCGTACGGTGTGAAATCACAGCGGATCTCGAGGATATTGCCGTATAGTCGTGTAGGTTTCGTATAGGTAGCCGCGATGCGTGGGGCGGAAGGTCGTATGGTGATTGAAGATTGGCGTGAATTCGCAAGACTCGTAGGGCTGCTCAAGTGGCTGACTAAAGAGATCGCCACCCGCGGCTGCGCTAGCGCTAGGTAGGATTGGGTCCACTGCGCACATGGGTACGCACGGCACGTTGTTCATTCACTAGAACACTGTGCATCCAAGAATCTATCTTCGACCTTCCAAGGATAGTGTCATCGAAGACGTATGGCATAGAATAAATTCTGAAATGGTTGGAAAACCACCAACATCGGTGGGTATCTAATTTACCACGAGCGCTGTCCAAACGCACGATGTAGGACTGAGCATACATTAATATGCTGAACATATGTCATCAAGCAGACACTTCACTTCTGGCGTTTCTGGGTATTTGATAGGTGAAGGTGGGCGTGCAGGCTTTTGCCAGCTTCTACATAGACCAATCTCACCTTTACATACCTATATTGCCCACATCATGATAGATCCTTTTACACCTAACCGTCACTGAGACTTTGAGTTACTCGATAACCTCAAACTCCCACACTACAGGACACCGAAACAAACGCCCGACAAGAAGGTATGTATTCGGTGGCTACGAGCAGTCCCAAGATCGTTGTTGACCTAGACAGCAATCGGATATTATCCTTCCGGAAAGCCTCGCAGCCACGATCAGCTGCAGATGGCGCAAAGCAGCTCTGCCATTACCTCCAGACAGCGAAAGCGCTCAGTGCGCAAGCAGTATGAAGACAGAGGCAAGATCGTCGCCTCTCTCGGGTACTCCTATACTGATCCCGCTTTTGACGAGTGGCGAGAATCATCTTTGGTCAAGCCGTGGTGGGACACTTTCGTCAGGAAGTATCTGGATACAAATCTCTACAAGCCTGTGAATAATGCCCCCGCCTTCGACGGGCTCTATTCATACGTCAGGAGTGGCTTTTGGCAAAGGCAGTCTCCGAATTACACCAACGAGACGAACTGGCATGCATGGTTGTTATACAAAATTGTCGAGGAGAACAGTGGCGACCGTGACGGGTGCTTCTACTACTCGTATAGAGCAGACGAAAAGACCATACACCGAATAGCTTACCACTACATTCTCTTTGCGAAGTGGGAACACTTAAAAGCTCGGAGGACTTCTGGGAAGAGATCAATCAGCGTTTCGAGCTCAGCAACTACAAGCAGCGTTGTGAAGCGCCGTTAGCTACGCATGAGATATCTTTCGAGGACACCCAGGCATACGCGGCAAAGTATGGGTTCGTGGCCTTCATGCTGGAGACTGAGGGTATCGGTGTTCCGGAGGAGGAGCACCACAACGATGACCGGGTGTTCGAACAAAAAGATTATCTATTGCGCGAAGTATTTCTGCCGCGGAAGCTGAACGGCTG